ATATTTGTGAGTGTTCACAAACTTGCCTTTAGAGGATGTGGAGGTAGTTACCAAAGAGAGGGTTTTTTATGTGGTGATAGTGATATTTCTTCTACTGATAAATTTGGCTATAGTCCTGTAACTGTTTTATTGGTTTTTGTCTGCTGTTTTTAATGTTTTGAACATGGTTTACTATACTTGTGGTGTTGAATTTTCTTTCTCTAAACTACCTTGGGGATTATTTTAGAGGAAAGGCAGGATATAGGCTTCCCAAATAAATGAGTGTTGTACATTCTAACATCTTTCCTAGTGGGGCAATAGAGCTTCCAGGGTGCTCAAGGGCTGAGGTTCAGCCTATGCACTAATGTAGATCGTAATGCACAAAGGAACAAAGATATTATGTTAACACATGACTGGCCCTTGCAAACTAGTTTTATTAACTTAATAGCAGCTGCAGGAATCCCCAATCCTAATCTGGACCAAAGCGGGCTCTAACCATTTGTCCTCAACACAGTCCTGATCTGGATTGCACACACACAGAGCCCAGAGACTGCCAATGTTCTAGGAGAAAATAACAACTGCAACTCTCCCCCGCTCAATCCAGATTGGAACAGTGGTGGGGACAAATGGTTGAAGTTCCCTCATGTTCCAGCCCCAGCCAGGATCACCACACATCTTATTTGTTTAGTAAAGAAAAAAAATTGTGTGATAATGCTGTCTCGATCCTAAGAGAAACAGTGTGTTGCAGTGGCTTAAGTGCAGGATCTGGGAGACCTGGGTTCAAATCCCCAATGGGTGACAGTCACTATATTTCAGTCTAACTGACCTCACAGGGTAGTTGCAAGAAAAAATACTGAGGGGGAGAAATCCATGTACTCTCCCAGGATCTCCTTGGAAGAAGGGTGGGATAAACAAGACTAAATAGTAAGATAGGAATTGGATAGAAAGTTGGTAGATGAAAGTCTGTGTCACGGCAGACTCTTTTGGCAAATATTTAGCAAAAGCTGTTTGAAAGGCAGCACAGTACTAATAAATCAACGTTCTTTGCACCTTTTTGAAGAAAAACCTACTACAGCTAAAAATCCAGCACAGCTCTCTTCCAAAGTTTCAGATCAGGAATACCTGAACTAACAACCCTAGATCAATACAGATCTAGGCAGAACCAAAGAAAAAGAAGTTATCATACCATTATAAGCATTTATCAACAGTTCATTTATAACCTATTCATTGCTTAAGAACGTAATCTTCCAATCAGTTTTATTTGGCTTACACGCTTAAAGGGATGCCAGCTCTTACATGTGACAAAGGATCTGTTGTCCCAGTCTCAAGGATCCGGCGCTCATCTACAGCTGGATGAACTGAAGTTCAGTGTGAAATTAGCCTTATTCTGTTAAGGCAGCCTCTTAGCAAAGCAGCAACCTTACTGAATCATATGAAATAAGAATTCATTCTATGGATGATTTCAGCTCCAGCTGACTTCACTGAAGCAACCCACACTGACCTAGAAATGGACAGGAGAACTTCCAACCAATACTTATGCCCGTATCTGGCACAGTTCCATCCCCTTTGGAACTCAGAACTAGTTAATGCATGGTGGCTTTCTCCTGCATGGAGTAACTAACAATGGAAACCATCACTTATAAGACTTGTCAGAAAAACCTTATTTGTGACAAATATATACATTGTGTAAATAATATTGGCATTATATTCTTGATTCATGTTCTTGCAGCAAAACTTAAGCTCTACCACATACATAACAGTGGTTCTGTTTCATTGCCACACTTGTTAGTTCTGTATGGAAATTATCATGTATGAAGCATCTATCAGTAACACCAGCTATGTACACTTAGCACTTAACTCTGGCTCCAGTGCACTGTCACTACTGGCGTTTGAAGCCGTGTCCACATGACATCAGCCACAATCCATATGTAGTTTCTTGAGAAACACTGCTATTTGATGTATTTTCCCTCAAATCAGCTTTCATCTGATTTGAAAATGTAATCCACAATCATTTCACAATTAAGCTGAAGTATGTACATTTACATGCACAGATGACAGCTCCATGAGCAGAAGCTCAGGGTGAGTGGGTTGTAGGCTTGAGGAAAACAAACAGGTAATGTGCATTGGGTGAAGACATCCTTGCCCCCTCTCCAGGTGTGCACAGCAACTTGGCAAATGTGACTTAAAACACAGCAGGGAGGATGGGGACTACAACCTTGCTGCATTTTAAGCCACTAATGTGTACATAGCCTTAGATGAGTAGGTATCACTCACCAGACACCTGTATTCTAGCCAAGGCTACAAACAAAACATGAGCTCAAGAAACATACTGACCAAAATCAGAAAAACGCACCCCTGATTTCAGGACCAACTTTTGTTGGTGTCAGCTCAGAGAAGATTTCCTGAAATATAACTGGGATGGGGTTAGAAGGCAGGACACTTATTTTTAGTAGTTCTCAGGTATTTTTCCTGTTTTGCAGTAGGTCAGACCAACAGAATATAAAGGCTATTTATAAATGACTTGGAAATTCTTGGATCCCAAAAGAATGATTAAAGGTAAAAGGACCCCTAACCATTAGGTCCAGTCGTTGCCGACTCTGAGGTTGCGGCACTCATCTCGCTTTATTGGCCGAGGGAGCCAGTGTACAGCTTCCGGGTCATGTGGCCAGCATGACTAAGCCGCTTCTGGCGAACCAGAGCAGTGCACGGAAACGCCGTTTACCTTCCTGCCGGAACAGTACCTATTTATCTACTTACACTTTGACATGCTTTCAAACTGCTAGGTTGGCAGGAGCAGGGACCGAGCAACAGCAGCTCACCCTGTTGCGGGGATTCGAACCGCTGACCTTCTGATGGGCAAGTCCTAGGCTCTGTGGTTTAACCCACAGCGCCACCCGTGTCCCTAAAAAAAGAATGCTTAGGCCACTTTTAAAACCTAAAAGGTTGCATGTAACCTCTAACAAAAGAGCTCTTACTTCTATGATGCAATATTTAAGGTGTTCCTGTTTTATTCAGCTGCTCCTTATAAGGTCAAACTTTTGAAAGTCAAGCCATTTAAATTAAGTTCCAAGTTCATCCTTTTTATGAAGAAAATGGGGAGGACTGACTTTAAAGTAACCAATCCTGGCATAAGTTGACTACATTCTCTCCTGATTGGCTTACTTGACCATTCTTGGAACATAGGGCATAGAGCTTTTAAGTTAATAACTTTAAAAATGCTGACACTCGGCTTGTGCAGTACAGGCTGATGGCAAAGAAAAGCTGTCTCTCCCTTTTTCTCTTGAAAAGAAACAGAAAAAAGTTGTAGAGCCTCCTCTTGGTTAACCACAACCTCTGTGAGCAATAAAGAAGATTCAGCATATATACAGAGCAGAATGAGCAACTGATTCATTCACAGGGATGGTGAATAATAATTAGAATGTGGTCACGTGACCTCTACAATTAAGATCCAGGCGCCACTAAGAGTATGTAGGGTTGTTTCATACATCCCTAAACCCTGATATCTTACCAGAATTACTCCTAGCTGCAAGGGCTTATCGGGAACGTCAGGAAACACAATGCCTCATCCACACATTATTTAGTTGCTAAGTTTATTTTTCAGGAGGAAGGGGGGGCGCTAGGGGCCTCTCTCTCTTAGTAACCGTCTTAACAGCCATCATCAACTTCGGAACAGGCCTGTAAAAATGTACGGCCAAGTAGGATTCGTGCCGTTTTGTTTTAACTTCTGTTGAATTTTAACCGCTTCGCAGCTTGACGAGGGCGAGATGTTCGAAAGATGCTTCGGACGTTTCTCAAGAGGGCAGATCACGCACAAGCCCAGAAGTAAGTAGTTTTGTCTCCTGTCAGTCCAGCTGCCGAAGGCTGCGATTCGGGGGCGCTTTACTCGCGAGTAAACAGGCACCACAAAGAGCCGTCGACACACGAACACACACATTACACACCCCTCCAGATCAGGCTGCGGGTCTCCCTCGCCCTCATCGCCTCATCTTTTGTTTCCCACCTCAGAGATGCCACCCACCGACACCCCCGCCCCTTTCCGCGGTCCCCCTGCCTCCTCTCTGACCCTTGAGGGACTCCCCATCCCACCCCCTTTACCTTGTAATCCTCGTAGTCGAGGTTTTGCAGGCGCTCCTTGCCGGAGCGGGCCCGGATTTCGACGCTGCGGGCCGGGGCTTCGTCCGGGGGCGCGTCGGGCTCCGGCGGGGGCTGCTGGGGCTCCTGCTGCCGCGACGGGGCTCTCCGGGCCCCTCTCTGCCCAACGCTGAGCGCCGCGAAGTCCAGCGTCTTGCTCTCGAAGGCTCCCTCCACGCTGCAGAACATCCCGCCATACTTCTGGCGGGGCACTTGGTCGGCGGTGCCCGGGCGCGCCAGGTACACGGGCAGCTCCTCATCCTCCTCCTGCTGGTGAGGCTCCCCCCGCTCCCGGCCTCTCCGCCTGCCGCTCGAGGTCATGGCCGCCGCAGGCAAGGCAGACGGGCGGGCAGCGCCAAACAACGCTCGGGAGCCCAAGCCGCCGCCGCCGCCGCCGGGTGGCAAGTCGAGCCCCTTTCGCCTGCCTGCGAGGAAGGAGAAGGAGGCGGGGAAGGGGGAGAGCGCGCCTCAGCCGGCTCCTCTGCCGCAGCCGCCGCGCCTCAGCTCAAGCGCGGAGTGACTGGCTGACGGGGAGAGAGGGAGAAAGAGCGCCTGATGGGAGGGAGGGAGAGAGGGAGGCGGCGGCGGCGGCGGCAGGGCTGCCCGGCCGGCCACGAGGACTTTTCCTCACACGACGAGCACCGGCCGCCACTGCCGTGAGGGGGAAACGGCGCCCGCTCTTCTTAGGCTGCGTTTGTGTAACGGCAACGGCGGGCACCTGAAGCGCCCGGCGCCGAAGCCCTCAGGCAGCAGCGGCTCGTCTCCATCCTCGCGACGTCCCTGACAGGACGGCCTACTTTTTTTTTTTTAATCTGTGTCTCTTCTTCGCTGTAGTTTGTTGGGGGAGGGGAGGGGGGGAAACATGCCAGGAAAGAAACTTCACCGGCTGAACTTCTGCTTTTCACACAAGTGCTAAGGGGTGGGGTTGGGAGAGGGAGAAGTGCCAATTTGAATAAAATATTTGGGGGGGGAGAGAAATAGGTCACATGATGCGGTGCACGCACCCTATTTGAATGACAATGCCCATCAACTTTGGGGGGTCCTGGCCCTCTCAAATATTTTAGGGGGTGCGCGAAGGGAACTCTGCCCCCAGGAGTTGGCTCCTAGGGTGAGAGGTTCCTTATGCCCCCCTACATCAGGTGTGGGGTATCTGTGGTCCTTGAGATGTTGCTGAACTACAATTTCCATCATCTCTGGCCATTGGTGAGAGGTTCCTTATCTGGACCTCCTGTGTTTTTAATAGGAACTGGACGCAGAACAGAAGGGAGGCATTTGGTGGTTTATCAAATGTTTGCCCGAACCTCTTTCCTGGGTTACTTCTACTGTGCACAACATGCATAAATGTAAGAAACATTCATAACAAATATAAGTCTTAACATGCGGAATGCTGCTGAAAATGGCAGTTGGTGTCAAATAGGACTTTAGCAAGTGGGGCTTGCTAAAAAAACGACCTTCCAAGACATTTGTAGCGGCCAGGTGGGCCAAATTAGGCCCATGGGCCGGAGATTCCCCTATGCTGCCATAGCTCACAACCAGTGACATCCTACCCTATTGTGACTGAATGTGCAGGCAAGTTAGGTAGTACTTCAGGTGGAATCCCCATGCCTTCCAACAACCACATTGTGGGCATATGTTCAGCAGGTGCCATTTTTCCTGACATGGAGATGCAGGGATGGGGCCACTGCACCAAATGAATTTCTGTATGCCATGTAGATATTAAAGTTACAGGAAGATTGCAATCGAAAGGTAGCAAGTTTGGGAGTATTTCATTTCTAAAATAAAACATGGATACCTCTCCTCCTAAATCCCAGATGTATGGAAGCTGAGTGCAGTTATTTAGTAACATAAGGAAAATGTTCCCTGCCCATGTTCTACATTATTATTATTTATTACATTTGGATACCACCCTTTAGCTGTAGATCTCCGAGAAGTTCCCAACACAAAACTACAATATAAAAACCCCCACAAAATACATAATAAAAACAGAAACAACCCAATAATCACCTCTTCCACAACACATCCAAAAGGGCATTGGATGACAATCAGCCCAAGGCCTGGTTGAAGGTGAACATTTTTGCCTGGTGCCTAAAGGCAATGTAAGAGAGAGCAGTCCATAACTGGGGAGCCACTGCAGAAAAGGCCAATTCTTGTTTTGCCTCGTCATCATTACTCCCGGAGGCCAGGAACTGGAACTGATAATAGTTTCTAGCTAGGGTTGCCATATGTCCACTTTTTCCAGGACACATTCTCTTTTTCATGATGAGAGTCATAGAGATCCATAGTTAAAAGTATAAGTCGGCAAATGTGTCTTCTTTTTTGCTCTTCAAAATATGGCAACCCTATCTAGCTCAAGAGAGCATAATGAAGGAATGTTATGCAGAGTTTCACTTTTATCCATGAAAGTTTAAGGCATGAAAGACTGCTTGGGACTGAGGCCTCTTTTTTCTTCCAAACTGAAGTTTATTTTCTAACAGAAGCCATGATTTTATATTTCCACACGCATCTATAATCCCAAGACTTATAGCTAAATTAAATCATATCTCTCCCTAAATAAAGACGTTGAAGTATAGACATGATGGTACAGCATGCATTCAGAATCTCACTGAGGTCAACATTAGGCACATAGATAATAACACATTTGCTTAGTGAAAACTATAGCTTACCAGAGACTCACTTATAACTTGTAGAGTTGCTACTGTTAAGAATTGCATGAGAGGCAGAAATCAACAGATGTATCTTTTTCCATCCATATATCCATGCCAGGAAGGACTTTATGTATTGATTTCTGCCTGCCTATAGTAACTTAAGGTTAGGGAAATTCTTTTCCATAAAAAGACAGTAGTTCTAAATACCTCAAGGACCACCTCTCACAATGTGAACAGACCCAGACCCTGCGCTCCTTCTCTGAGGCCCTTCTTTGGGTGCCTTCTCCACAAGAGGTGTGCAGGGTGGCAACACAAGAACAGTCCTTTTGTGCGGTGACTTCCCATTTGTGGAATGCTGTCCCCAGGGAGGTGTGCCTGGCACCATCATTATATATCTTTAGATACCAGGCCTTTGGCTTTTGACTATCTGTGGCTTTTAAAAGTGATTGGGATGTGTTTAATGCTTTTATCTTTTCCCTTGGTTTTAATGTATGTGAGATTTATTGTATGTGTGTTTGGTTGTAAATTGTTTTGGGTTGCCCTAGGCAAGATAAAGCAACTGAGAAAATAAATAATAAATAAATAAATAAATAAATAAAGAATGAATGAATGAATAAAGGCAACTTCACATAAAGCAGAAAATAGCAACACACATAATCATATTTACTTGCAATTTATTTTTTTACCTGCAAACTCTATATTGATTAAATAATAAATATGCACAGATAGAGTTGTATGATACAGTTTGTTTATGACACTATTAAGTTAATTCCATCAGACTATTGTAATGATCAAACTGTTTGTTTTGACTACTTGATGACCAGGTTTCCTTTTTGTGGTATGGTTTAGCATAAATGTTAAAGTGCATCATAACAACAGGCTTCAAAGCTCTGTGTTGCTAAGTCCTTTTTTTTTGTTTTTTGCTCCCACATCGTGCAAGTCTTTAAGGTTCCACCGTGCCCTTCGTTGTTTTTGCTAAAATGGACTGACATGGCTATGCTTCTGGGAAATGTGCAGGCTTGATTACTGTAAACCAAAGTGTGACAGCTACAAGTTTCATGAATTCCCAACAAGCTGCTGCTCTAAAGTAAAAAATAAGGATTCATCTGAGACAGTAAGTTGCAGACGTACAAAAATGTTGGCAAGCTAGGAAACTGCAAATCCTGCTCCACAGCAAAGCATTCCTTAAATGTGTGACAAGGTAAAAGGAGTGAAATGATTAATCTGCACATCTCGCATGCAGTATTCACCAAAAGAGATGTTATTGTTCCCAAATGCCCGTTAAAATCAAAGATAACTCTGGACTGCTTACCATCGTTATTTTCATGATGACTCCATTTTAAGTTGTAGTAATTCTTCCTTGTGAAAGATATAATGCTGATATTGAACTCACCTTCTAATCAGTGTTACAAGAACCCAAAGAATGTACAGTCTTCAACACCGGTAAGTTTCTACAACTGTCAAAGCCACTACTTGTGGAGGGTGTGTGTGTTTGTGGGATTACATTATAATGCATATTACTGTACAAATTATTACACTTATTCAATTACCATAGTCACTCGAATCTAATGTGCCATCGAATCTAATGCACACCTCAATTTTCATAACTTTGAAACAAAACAAAATTATTTGCTGGTGAACGTAAATGTGGCATTGAATCTAATACACACCTTAATTTTTGCAATGTAATTTGGCCAAAAAAAGTGAGCATTAGATTCGAGTAAATACAGTATTAATGATATACTTTTGCTCCTATTTAAGGACTTCTTTAAAACAATTCAATGTCACATTTACTCTTACTGTTATTCAGAAAGCAACTGCATACCAAGAGATTAGTCATCATCTTTCAGTGGTCTCTGAATCTGCTGCATACATTTAATCATAATCATAAGAAATAGTAGGTAAAGCAGAATAGGGTTCATATGATTTTTATTAAGTGGTCACGAGAACACCATAGTCACTGTCAAAATAGCATCTTTAGCATGCACTCTCTGACTATACCAGAAAGGTCCTGGATTGCAATTTACTGATAGGGAATTAAGGGTTATGGATCTCTTGGGGGAAAACAAATAAATGGGATTTCAGTGTATCAGGAGAAAGCTGCTAGAATCACAGAGAGAGCTGCCCTGTGTGGTGAGCAAGTGACCTGTCAAATGGCAGCTTTCGGTGAGGTACCCTCTGGTCCTGTACTGAGTCTCCCCACTCAGGCTAGCCATTGGATCCTTCTGGACAGGAGGGAAAATTAGATTCCTACTTGAGGAATGAAGTCTTTCTGAATGGCAGAATATTATTGTATCCTTAGCCCTGTCTCCCAGTTTGTCCTTTGCTTCTGCACCGTAGTTGGTCTTTTAGTTCTTGCTAACTTTATTTCTCTTTACTCCTAGCTTCTGGAATGTCCCACAACTCTTAGTTCCTAGCTCACTTCAGATGGTTGCCCATACTAACAGATTCCTCTATTTGGTATGTAAGTGGGTGAAGAAAGGGTTGTGTAAATGAATCTGTGTGTGCCCAAAGGTAGAATCCATTTATACAGCCACAAGCATCCTGTTTAATGTTAGACACTACTGTAAAAACCATGGGAGTCTCCTGTGTGCACAGCTCAGTTTGCGGTGTTTTTCTTTCTGTGCACAGTTATGTGAATTGTCCCTTATGAATGTTTGCATGAAAATATTTATTTATTATATATATATATATATATATATATATATATATATATTTTAAAATATTTTATTGCATTTTGAGGGGGGGAAAAGATAACCAAGCATATATCAAACACAGAAATCATGACTTACAGCTCTATAGAAAGAAAGAAAGAGAAGAAAAAAAGAAAAAATCCCAGTTTTTCATATACTTTTTCCATAACCATCTGGACTTCCTCACATTTCCCTTTCCTGCGTTCTCCATTAAAAAGATATGTTCAGCAATTTATTACCTTCTTTCAAATCTTATATTCTAATTCTGATATGTTATGTCTCAGATTTTAAATGTTTCCATCAAATATTTAGCTACTTAGTTTAGGCATAACTTTACTTCAAATCTCATCTTTATATTTCAACTTATTTTCAAACGTTTCTCATCTCGGCAACTGATGCCATAATCCTTCCATTCATGCACTTTCTTAACATTCATACAATTTATAAAATTTTTGTAAATAGTCTTTAAACTTCTTCCAGTCCTCTTCCTCCTCCTCTTTTATTTATTTATTTATTATATACAGGGTGCCCCAAAAGTAGGTATACTGCTTTAGAATCCAGTTTCTTTGTTCTTGACTCAAGTTCTCATCATTCGCAATATCAGTAAAGAAAAACAATCCATTGATTGATTGAATGTATAGCTACTTTTGGGCCACCCTTTATTATATCACATACTTACACAGTCTACCATCCAGAACTGACCAGATCTATAACTTCAGCTAGAAAGCAGCAGACCACTCACAGGGCTCTGACTGCTAGCAGTTTTTTGTTTTGTTTTTTTAAATTTCTCAAGATCTGCTGACTAGACTTTCATTGACTAGACTCAATGACTGTGCAACATAACACAACAGCCATTCTCAGAGATAATTGTCAGCATGTCTGGTTCCCTCTCCTACTCCTGCTACTACCATCTCTGACTTATTCTCATGACTGAATGTCATCTGTGAAGCTGATGTCAGCAGCCACAATGAGTTTTGTTTAAGAAAAGTCTATCAGTGATTAGTAAGATTCACAGGAGAAAACTCTCAAAACAATAAATTCTTCCTCTCGTACACACCACTGTCTGTATAATGGACTCCAAAACCAACAATGGTCTGTGGGTAAGGAAAATAATGGAATGGAATGGAATGGAAACAAATGATCACTAAATAAGCCCTGATTTTCACCACCCACTGCATAGTAGAGATTCAGGCATGTTTTTGTTTTTTTTTACTCTTTAAACAGTTTTTGTATTTCACAATACAAAGGGCTATTTTCCATTGCACACTTAAAATAGCAAATGTTGGGTAAAAAAAAAAGACTCTGTGGACTTAGGCAAAATAGTACTTTTAGGAACATCTTCTGGAGAAAGGTAGGTCTGAACAGCGCAAGGGACAGACTGGGAGGCAAGTTTAGGGGAGCAGCAAATTTTTCCTTTCCCCTTTGTACAAGCCACCCAGGGAAGTTAGAAGTAGCTGCTGTCTGGATTTCCTGCACAAAGTGATATTGCCGCCAAACTAGATATGATGAGCATAGTGTGCTCATACACAGTTGAGGTTTCTTGTTTCTTGTTTGTTTGTTGGGGTGGGGAGAAGCTGGATCAGGACCGTAGCATGTAGAGGAGAGAGCTTTAACACTTCCCCCCTCCATATATCCTGACTGAACTCTCTCACTCTGTGCCGCCTGCCTGTCCACAAAGTTCCCAGTCCAGAGCCCTCTGTAGCACAACCACACCACCTTGGTTGTGGTATCTCATGAGAACGGCAGATCAGGTACACACTACTGCAAAGAGGAAAGAAGGGAGCATCATATTGTGGTTGGGGGGTGGGAGAGGAAGTTGATTAAGCGGCAAAATATCCAGGATTGGCGCTGATAGACTTTCAAATAGCAGCATCTTAACCAGACAGCCATGCAAGAGCAGCTAATGGCTCTGTCTCAAAAACTCATTATTCTGTTGCATTACTTAAATGGATGACAAATCTCCAAGTGACTCCCTTTACAGTATTATCGTCTGAAATATTAATAATGTCAAAGCTGTGTGTGCTACTTGACAGTACCAAGCACAATCCAATTAGAAGATACAAATATTTCCCAGCATTAGCCTCATTTCCAAATGGCTTAGAAATTGTCCATAACTACTCAGTATTAGGAGAGAGCAAAAAAGAAAAGGCAGGGTGTGCCATTAAGGATGGGTCAGTAAGTAGAAATGCTCATGTTCAGTGTTAGAAAGAAAAGGGTGGAATATTTTAATAGTACTGAGGTGGAGCAGGAGGGACCGTGGCTGGAATGAGGAATAATAAAACAGTTGCCTAACAAGCATAATGTAACTGTGTGTACTATATATTTCAGATTAAGAATCCTGGAAATGGAGAACTAATCAGGGCAGGATGCAGCCAAATATGATTAATTTTAAAATTAACAGCCAAAGTCTTGACAACCTGGAAAAGAAGTGAAATTGTCCCAAATGCAAAATGACTACACTTATTCCAGAGTCAACACTAAAAGAATTGGGACCAAAGGGATATCTACACATAAGATTTTCCCTATAGAAGTTGTTGTTGCTGCTGTTGTTGTTATATCCCGCCCAGTCTGGGCGGTTTACAGCATATATGAAAGCAGTGCTTTTTTCCCCCTAAAAAAATGTTTAGGGGTACTCTCATTTTGACTCAAGAAAATCACCAGGAAAGTAAATGAAGCCGCCATCGGAGGTGGTAACAATGGAACTGACCAATCACCGTGCTAGATCCCAACTCCTACTTCACACATTAAACGCTTGCTTCCGTCTCAGACCGTGACAGGAAATGAGGCCGCCATCGGGGGTAGCAACAGAACTGACGATTCACCATGCTAGAAAAGAAACTTAAAAAAAATATTTTTTTTTACTTTCTTCTCCTGTTAGATTCACAAAATGGTTAGGAGTATGCGTACCCCTGCGTCGCCCCAGAAAAAAAGCACTGTATGAAAGCATAGTAAAACAGCAAAACTTAAAAAACCTCCTGATACAGGGCTGCCTTCAGATGTCTTCTTTATGTACGGTAGTTCTTTATCTCCTTGACATCTGAAGGGAGGGGGTTCTACAGGGAGGGTGCCACTACCGAGAAGGCCAAACAGAAGAATTCAGCTGCCTTCTGTACTTTTGTTGTCATGTGTTACAACCTTTAATGCATACACTCCAACATTTCTCTGATGAAAATAGAGACATCTTAAGGAAAAACAGGACATTCTCTGATCAAATCAAAAACTGGGATGGCTTCAGTAAATACAGGACTGTCTGGAAAATAGGGACACTTGGAGGGTCTGTTACTGATGACAAGCGCCTGTATGTAGCCTGTACTTCCTTGCATATGTCAGGCAAGCATGTACAGGATGTAAATGTGGGTATTATTTTGCTTGTGCTAACTTGGTGCACTGCACTGACAACACAATCTTATATGTTTACTTAGAAGTAGACCCCACTTACCAAGGTAAATGGGTATAGAATTGCAACTTAAGTGAGCATGTTTGAGATTTTCCAAACCCTTCAGGAAAAAGCCATAGTCACATTTAAATTTCTAGTTTAGTTTCTGAGACTTAACATAATGCCATATTCTTCATTCAGCAACCCAATTCTTTTTCATGTCAGATTGCTTTACAGAAAAGTAAACTAATTTTTAAAATGCTTACTTTAATGGAAATGACAGAAATACTATTTCAGCATCAGACACTTGGAAATGCTAAGAAGCTCCCAAGTGCTTTGCAAAGCAATTCGTAAGAACAACTATGAATGAGGAAGAATTGTCCAGCCTTCTTCAAAATATCCTTTAAGCCAATCCCTTTTTCACAGGAAGATTAGTTAATGAAATGAGACATAACCACTCCACATGGTATGGTGTTCTATAATTTTTTGACTCCTAGAATTCATTGTCCATTTTGTTTGTTGCATGTTGTGGGTCTGCTAGCTAGGTTTTGTGAAAATTGAGAATAATTTTTAACTAAAATGTCTTTATGAACTTGTCATGGGGGGAAAACCACTTGATTTTCACCATAATTTTTAGTATATGTAATTGTGGGAAACATTTCTTACATTTTGCTATTATGCAAATGACAGAAACCAAGTTACTAATAGCAAATTCCTGTTGGTTTACTACTCTGTCTGTATGTCCCCTACCAAGGCAAGATGGAACGCCACAACATATTTTCTGGTGTTTTGTCTAATTTCAGCGTCTCCCACAAATGATTCGTAGATGATTCATCAAAACATGTGTTATCAAACACCTCTTTATTTTTAGTAGACCTCTTTTTCCAAACTCTCTATAGTAAGCCAAACTGTGTGATAAAAACTGAATAGAGATCAGGAGGAATGTGGAAACACTGCAATTATCAGCTTCCTCTTTACGTGCAATCTGGCTTTCCTAACAACTGGAAACCTTGGTGTTATCAGGAAATTAGGGCCCAGTTTTCCAGAGTGTAATTTTTTAAAAGGTCTTTTCTATATAGTGGTACCTTGAGTTACATACGCTTCAGGTTACAGACTCCGCTAACCCAGAAATAGTACCTCGGGTTAAGAACTTTGCTTCAGGATGAGAACACAAATCATGCTCCAGCAGCGTGGCGGCAGTGGGAGGCCCCATTAGCTAAAGTGGTAGCTCAGGTTAAGAACAATTTCAGGTTAAGAACGGACCTCCGGAATGAATTAAGTACTTAACCCGAGGTACCACTGTAAAGGGATTAGTAGAAGGCAGCCTTGGGCATCAGTTAGCAGTACGGAGTCTCAAGCAGAGATGTGCTCTCCCAAGCCCACATGTTCCCAGCATGTCCACACTCCTGTCTCAGTGACATCTACTCCATCTTCACAGAATGGAAGATGGCAGGATACCCAAGGGTGTAATCTACAGGGAGCCAGCTTCAGGCACCAGGCCCGCTGGCAGACCAACTCTGCATCGCAAAGATGTCTGCAAGCATGACATGAAAGCTGGCAACATTAACCCCACCATGTGGGAGTCCCTTGCAGTCAACTGCAGCACTTGCAGACAAACAGTCAGGTTGTGTATCCACAGCAGTGACCAGAGGAGGAATGACCACTGGGAAGAGCGCAGAGAGAAGAAATGCCATGGTGCATCTGCAACAGCACAACTGGACGCCTTCATCTGCCCCAGGTGCAACAAAACACGTCTCTCCCTCATCAGTCTCTACAGCCACAGCAGGCGCTGTAACTCTCCAGCGGTTTGACTTCATGCCTGAAGGTGTACTCTCCCATAGTTTAAGGCAGGTGGGGAACCTCAGGCTCAAATGTGCATAGCTGTCAAGTGTCCCTTATTTGAAGGGACAGTCCCTTATTCCAGCGCCATGTCCCGCTGCTGTCCTTATTGATGGATGTTCCTTAAATGTCCCTTAAATGATGTCCCCTAAATTTCAAAGGAAGCAGCTCCTCTCCCTCCCTGCCTGCCGGCCAGAGAGGAGGGAGGCTCCAACTGTGTTGCTTGGCTGTGTTGCTCACCCAATAAGAAGTCTAAGAATGACTGGGGGGTGGAGCTTGCATGCCTTGTGTGTGGCTAGTTAATGCAAGCTGAGGGGGGTTTTGAATGCTGGACGCCATTTTGTTGCACATGCTGCTGCAAACTTTGCAGTGCAAAGCTAGGTCGGGGAGCCATCTTAAGTTGAGGCTGCATAGGCCTTGTGGTGCATGTGATTCAGATTCTATTCAGTTGAACCTCTGGTTACAAAGTTGGTTGGACAGTGTTCTCGAAGCTACCCAGCATGAGTTTGACCAGACTGCAGGAGGACAGGAAGACTGGAGTGCCTAGAACAGGTGAGGCTGCAGGTCCCTTATTTTGGCTGCTGGTCCCTTATTTTCAAGGCTGCTGGTCCCTTATTTTCAAATCTGTAAGTTGACAGCTATGAATGTGGCCCTCCAGGATTCTTTCTCTGGCCCATGGAACTCTCCCCAGACCACACCCCTCACTGCCCTTCCTTTGCACCACAAGTGTTTTTGGCTGGCTGCAATGTGCCCTTGAACTTTGACAAACTCTTGTTTGTCTAAATGAGAGACAGCAGTATATATTAGTGTGTGCAGACTAGCCTGCACAAAGGTAAAATTTACATCACTCTCAAAAGGTGGCCCAGAAGGGAATCTGGTCCTCATGCTGAAAAAGGTTATTCACTGATGCTTTAAATTTTTAACAAAAAACCACTGATTCCTCTTCAAGCAGCAGCAATAAGCAACCCACTGATGCCCAGTAGGAATGCCCAGGGCCATTGTAAGGCGAGGTGGGGAGGGATAACTGCTTCGTGTCCACTGATGCATTTTTAACTTTACAAAGAATGCACATTCAGCTTGTCTTAACATATAAGACATAACTGAGTTGTGTTAAGTGATTCTGACTTTGCATTCTTGCTTAAGAACTTGAAAAGTGTTTTGCATTATCAGTTTATCTCCAACTATGCCAGCATTTTTTGCACGCACATCCCAGCAGAGGGAAGGTGCCATGATCTACCTCCTACCCACTACCTTTAGCCTAGTGCTGTCAACTCTGACTCACAGAGGCCTTTCTCAGCCCTGCTGTTTGAAATTCTCTAACAGGAGATGCCAGAGTTTGGACTTTAGGATTTTCTGCATGCAAAGCAATTGCTCTACCACTGAACTATAGTCCATCCTCAGTAGCGTAGATCTCAGCTGATATTTCAACTCAAAAGTGCTTATACGGTGCAGTGATTTAAAAAAAATTATTAGTAGCACCCCTCCCTCAGATGTGGGTCACCTCAGTTGAAACCAAATGGAGCACTGTGGTATAATAAATCTAGTTTTTATTCTTGCTCTATTTTACATTGGGCATGAGATTTATTTATAGACACGGAGGGACAATTTCCCCCATCCCTGAGTCTTTATGTTTCTGGATTGTCTCATGTGGATCAAATGATTTAGGTGCTTGGAGAATAAAATATTTTGGTGATTACACACAAACAGCTGCTTTCAGGGCCATGACCACAACATTCCTCTTAATGTTTGTCTTTAAGTCAGTTACATCCTGTCTTATACCAGCTGCACTTTATCTTTGTTCCCAAAGAAGAAGAAGAAAGCTAACATCAGGTAAACAGTGCTGCTCAGTATTTGTTTTCCAGACACTTTTGCTCAGCACTCCACACCATTTTAAGGGATGAAGTGCATTTGTGTCCCAAGAAGTTTAGGACGGTGCATGTGGTTCTCCCCTGAGAGGTGGGTTAGACTGAGAGTTCAGGACTGTCCCAGAGTCATTTAGTAAGCTTCATGCCGGATCAGGGATTTGAACTTCGGTCTTCACAGCCCTAGGCCATTGCTGTATCTTACGCTTCTCCAACCTGGGCCTTCCAGCTGTTTTGGACCAGAACTTCCATCAATCCTAGCCAGCATAGCTGGAGTGCACTACAGTGGTACCTCGGTTTAAGAACTTAATTCGTTCTGGAGGTCCGTTCTTAACCTGAAACTGTTCTTAACCTGAGGTACCACTTTAGCTAATGGGGCCTCCCGCTGCCGCCACACCACCACCGCGCGATTTTTGTTCTCATCCTGAAGCAACCCAAATAGTAACCCAAGGTACTATTTCTGGGTTAGTGGAGTCTGTAACCTGAAGCATCTGTAACCTGAAGCGTCTGTAACCCGAGGTACCACTGTAGTTAGAAAAAAACTGCTCTAACTGCCACACCATGATTTTTGTCTCATCCTTTCACAATTATCTTGAATATATGAACTCCTTGGAGGAAGGCAGATAACACAAATGAAATAAGGAATAATACCAAGGAAATAACTGTCTGCCCGCACACACATACATACTCCTTATTCATCCCAAACCAACCATCTGAAAGTCAAGTCCTTAGGAGGAAATTCCTCTTTTCTCTGCTACCACCACATCAGTGGGAAATGATATTAAAATGGTTTTCTGGTGGATCTGGAGACAGCACCCTTTCGTAATTGTACACAGAAGACAAGTAATGAGGGAATAACCCGATTGGCATAGCTGATATATAGCTAGCACCATAGATCATCTATTGAAAATGCAATAAAGGGAAATTACAATGGGAAGGACACTGTAATTATATATTTCCTCTTCTAAGAAAGTAGGCCTGGCAGAAGGGCAGCCCTCGGCATTTTGCACAGTTAGGAATAATGTTAACAATAACTCAGAATTGTTAAGGCTGAAAGTGAGCAGAGTTTTTCTTTACATTGCTATGTCTCCTGCACTACTTTCAATGGTTGTCCCACATAGCCAAAACAGGATGTGCTGCACTGCTGTGTCTTCATGTTGCATCTTCAAAGCAAGATACCTCCACTGGTACATTGGGAAAGTGCTTTGAATCTTGATCCTATGCTCTGCACCAATGGGATTCACCCTAGAAAGAGCTTTATGAAGCGACCAAACACAGACAGTCTCCAGAATCTGTTTGGCCTTTTGTAAAGAGTCTGCCAGCGGTTAATCTGATGCATGACTCATCTCTCCAAGCAATGGCAGCAATTCTGTCGTGGTCCACCCAAGCAAATATATTTATTTTGTCACTTAAAGGCTTAACTTGGCAAAGAATTCAAGGGCATTTCAGTGTCTTGATCCCAGCTGGTTGTGGATCGCCAGGTTAAAGCAATAAGCTTTAATCTTAGGTTAGCATATGCTTCTTCAGAGCCAATATTACATTCCTAAGAAATTATAGTTATTTTTATTATTGTACTGTATATAAATAGCTTGTTGCATTTCCATTCATTTCATGCTTGAGGAAAGCAATACCACGCAGTGACTGCATGAATGATCAGGGGGCTGTACCACCACCATGGAGGCCCCTGTTGCACCCATTTTAAGTACAGCAGAGGAGACGCTCCTGTCAGTGTAATCTCCAATGGTTGCCACCACACAAGGGTGCATATAAGCCTATTAGGAACTTCAATAAGTCAACTAGAAAAAAACAACAATCCAGCAAACAGAATTAAAATGTCTTCCCAGAGGTCTATTAGAAGATTCCTTGTTTGCTTTACAAGTTCTCACTACAAATTGTGTAACACCACTAACATAGCTAGTGCTATGACCTTCTAACATAGCTAGGTTATGACCTTCAGTGGCCAGACTGGGATTTAGGTTTACGACTGGCATTTCTGAAGACCTGCCTCCTCCTATATGAAATTGTTTATCCACTGAAGTCATCAGTGCAAGCCCTGCTCCAAGTCCTCCCATTTCAGAGGCAAAGTAGGTGGTGAAGGACCCTTGCATTTGCAGTGCCCAGAGTTTGGAACACCCACCACAGAAAAACTGAGTCAGTGCCATCTTTTACACATCAAGGCATTTTCCTGATGGCTGCTCACTGTTAGTTGCCCTGCTTCTCAGACTTAGTTTTTGATGTGTTCGGGCATATGGTTGGGTTTTTGTTTCCATATTTCCATGTATTAGCTGATTTCTAAAAATACCGGTAATCGTCTGATCTTAAATAAGCCATCTTGGGCACTAAAAGATGGGAAGGCAGATATGGATGTTTGAAATAATAAATACTTGTGATTATGTTTATATCCTGCCTTTCTTCCATGGAACTTAAGATGACATGCACAGGATTCCCAGCTGGTCTCCTGTCTTCTCAGTGACCCAGACCTTCAGCAAGGCTGCTACAGGATGTTTCTTCAGGTAATGCTACAGCTGCAGTAATGTGTCAGGAGCATATGGATCTGCCTTCTGCCAGATCCATCTCACTCAGTATTTGTCCATTTGGTCAAATGGGTAGCTCAGTTGGTTAGAGCTTGGTGCTGATAACACCAAGGCTGCAGGTTCCGTCCCTGTAAGGGAAAGCTGCATATTCCTGCATTGCAGAGGGTTGGACTAGATGATTCTCAGGGTCCCTTCCAACTCTATGATTCCATAATTCTATGATTTAGCTCAGTATAGGCTGGAGCTCTCCAGGTCAGAAATATTTCTTATCACCATCCTTTTTAGATGGAGATGCTAGGAACTGAACCATGTGCTCTACTGATGATCAGTTATAAGGCCAGAGTACCTCCACCCTGACCAGGAGAAATGCGTTGTGTATGAAACAGCAGAATCCACCTCAGTATGTCAAAGGATCTTATCTACACAATTTCCAAGTTGTTGGGTTTTTCCCCCAATACAAGTTCATGATCTGCTTCCCTTCCAACCCAAAATTTGTATTCACCTCTCTCCTCAAATTAGCATCTGCTTGTCCCATGCGAAGCCCTGGAGTAGAAACTGTCTGTTATGCTCAGAAAGTGACTCTGTCTTACATTAAGGAAAAATATTAAGCGTAAAATAAGTAAATATTTTATTTAGGCTAGCATAAACTGGAGGGTTTTTACAGGGAACAATGAGGCTTTAAATACCAGGATGCAAACCATTTATTTCCATCGAAGGCATGAAAAACAAAGCTGATCCCACTTTCATTGTTTGACAGTTTGTTTCTAAAAGCAAATTTCTAAGTATCTCAGCCTCTGGGATGGAGGAGAGTCGTATGTTCAGCATTTGGAGTTTATTTTTTAATGCTTTGCACTTGAAAGAAGAGACATGCAAAAGAAAGCCTACAGAGAGACATACTTTTGGCCATCAAATGAACCTAGATATTGGCAGAAGTTTGTTTTGAGAAACAACGGCTGCTGGACAAAGTAGGAACAGATGAAAATATGTTTAAGTTCTTTATATTCTAAAACAGAACATGTTGCATGTCAGGAAAAACAGATGTTCTAAATGCTGTGAACTGAATCTCAGATTTTTATTTTTTATTTTAAGCCAAAACCTTTCCTACTGCTTTTGTTTCAGGTGCTGGAGAGATTCATCAAAGAAGAGGCCCAACCCCCTTTTCCTAAACTGCTACTTATCCAAATTGACAACATTTCCACCACTTACCCTTGGATAATTCTTTATTCCACATATCTGCTTTGCCACATGTCACCAGGAACAGGAAAACATGGCCAAGAACTGACAATGTGAGGCACAGATTTATTTATTTTTAAAGGAGGAGGAGAGGGTAAATAAAAGTAGCATCATTATTGTCTAAAGCCATCAGCATAAAGCAGCAGGAGAATTAGCATGAATTAACAAGTTCTCCTAGGATATAGTGTATAGATAGTAGGAGTTGCCAACCTTTGTTGGCACATTTGGAATTTTGGAAAAGTGCCGTGGGTACCAATAACATGGATGCTGTGGGGTGTGTGGCATAATACAAAACGATGGCTGTGGGAGAGTAACATTAATACACAATGGCTGCCGTGGATCATGACACAACACAAAATGGCTGCCACATCCAAGAGAGCGGAAAAAGAGGCAGGACCACAGAATGATGGGAGCATGCCACCCTCAGCCCCTTCCCCACCAATGGGAAAAGTCTCCTACATCATCTACCACCACACTCTCCTAAAGAAGCTCTTTGTCCCTCTCTTCTGTTCATAGTGGAAAGAGGGTAGGTGCCCAGGCCCGGCATCCAATGAAACCTGGTCTTGTTAAGGGGTGTGTTCAATATGGGAGAGGCCAAGACAGTGGAAACAGGAAGACCAATCTGTTTCTTGTGCATTGTGGATTTTTGAGTGGATATTTACTGAGACCTTTTGCAGGTGCCATAGGAGGTACTGTTGTGCATGGGTGCTGCATTGGCAGTCCCTGGAAGGTACTGTAAGGCTGGGAAATCTCATGACTGGAGATCAAATGTGGCCCTCCAGGTCTCTCTGTCAAGCCTTTGGGATTCTTCCCACACCATACTTCCTACCTCATCTACCCTGCAATACCCTCCTTACTGGCCCTGCAATACCCTCCTCAGTACTTTTGCCTGGATGAAATGTGTCCCTGAATAATGCCACTTTCTTGTCTGGCTGGAGGGTGGAAATGTGAGTGTAGAAACCACTGACGTCTGTATAGATTGTAACCTACTGCACAGAGACCACATCTGTTGTCTTGCCCACTTTTTGCCTCTGGCCTCACCCACTGCTCCAAAGCTTGCCCATGAGGGAACACTGCCTTTAAGCTGAGATGTTTTCCTCATTCCTGGAGCAGAGATAGATCAAGTAGTGGGCTATCAATCATTGCAGCTTCATGGACTCCTTCAGGGAAGAGGTGTCCAAAGAGGGAAGAAGATACCTTAGAGGAGATTGATGGGTTTATTGTCTTAGATCAGACATAGGCAAACTCTGGCCCTCCAGATGTTTGGGACTACAATTCCCATCATCCCTGACCACTGGTCCTGTTAGCTAGGGATGATGGAAATTGTAGTCGCAAATATCTGGAGGGCCGAGTTTGCCTATGCCTGACTTATGGGGACTTGGAGGCCAGTGTGGGGACCTGGCACCTCTGAGATAATATGTTCTCAGTACACTGGTACCTCAGGTTACAGACGCTTCAGGTTACAGACTCTGCTAACCCAGAAATAGTACCTCGGGTTAAGAACTTTGCCTATGCCTGTCTTAGATATATTTAAATGAATCATTTTCATGGAAACACTCCTACTGTGTTTCAGTTCATTAACTCGTGGAGTATTTTTTGTGGGCGGGAATAAAGTTATAATCTCACCTCTGGGATGAATTTACCCCAAATTAAAAATGGAGAGGAAGAAATCCATAAAAGAAATGCACATTTGTGGAGAGTATTCAGTGGCTCCTCCTGATTATAAGAGCCAAAGAAAGCTGTCTGCCTTCATCAATCAAGCAAGACACTGAAGCTCTGGGATTTAGCAAGAGGAGCTGTGGAGATGAAATGAATGAGCTCAAAGTCTTTGGGCATTTGAAGAAGCTGTTCGGGAACTGGGCCAATGTAAGGCACAAAAGGCTCCAGGCAGAGTGAGAGATGCAACGTGGCAAAAATGAGAACACTCCACAGATGCTACATTCACAGCCAGTAGTGACTTACTCAGGGTAATGCTTCTACTCGATACATTTAATGCTAGCATTCATGTCTTTCCTGCATTCATTTGCTCTTGGCCTCTTCCTTTGCAATGGTCACCAAATAGCACTAAGGGGATGGGACTGTAAAGAAAAACCCAGTCTGCAGAAATAACCAAATTGGGGACAAAAACAACCCTTAAGCTAGCTACTAACAGCAAATATTTCTTCCTTAGGGGTTGCTACAATAGGTTGCTGTGCTGCTAAAATCGATAGAGTATGCCTGTCACTCTAAGCATCCACTTGGCGAGTTCAGTTTGAGGTTGTGCATACGAAAGGCAAAGTTCTTCAGGGAAGTTGTTCTGGGTTTGAAATATGTTGGCGCAAACAGAAAAGCCACTGGGATGGAACATTATCAACATGATTAGTGTGGATTTCTTCTCTTGCCCCTCCAAAATCATGAATATTTTTCTTGACAAAGCCAGATTGGGGCTATGTGTAGCCATAACCAGAGCCTGGAAGCTTTGTTCATTTTTACGTTCCCATTGCCAGTGGCTTGGCACTGGAGCTACAGCAAGAAGGTTCTGTTCTGCTAAGCAGGACAAGGCAGAAGCCTAAGATCCTAGTCTTTAGACCAGGCCTGGCCAATCTGGAGGCTTCAGAATGCCTACCAATATCAGAGGCTCATGTTGCACACACACCTTTTTTCTATGAGCCCCAAAGGTGCCTATTTACTAGGGATGGTCCTTGTTTTCTTGCCCCTGATACATTGCTGCTCCCATTTGTCTCAATTGTTGCCTGTTGAATAAGCTCCTAGGTTTACTCAGGTTTCAGTTACACCCATAATTTTACATGCTGGTGGGGCTCATTTTGAACTGTTGATAGCATATTGTTGGGCGCTTCATTATTATTATCATTTTAGCATACTCGTAAGGTAAAGGTAAAGGTAAAGGGACCCCTGACCATTAGGCCCAGTCGTGGCCGACTCTGGGGTTGCGGCGCTCATCTCGCTTTCTTGGCTGAGGGAGCCGGCGTACAGCTTCCAGGTCATGTGGCCAGCATGACTAAGCTGCTTCTGGCGAACCAGAGCAGCACATAGAAACGCCTTTTACCTTCCCGCCGGAGCGGTACCTATTTATCTACTTGCACTTTGACATGCTTTCGAACTGCTAGGTTGGCAGGAGCAGGGAACGAACAATGGGGGCTCACCCCGTCACGGGGATTCGAACCGCCGACCTTCTGATCAGCAAGTCCTAGGCTCTGTGGTTTAACCCACAGTGCCACCCGCGTCCCTACAGCATACCCGTACCTGCAACCAAAACCACATACTTGTTCTTGGTTGTTGTTGTTTTTCAAACAATGTAGATTCACTGACTGTTGTGGAATAAATGAACACAACACAACAGATGGAGTAGAGCCTTCAGCCATGTGTAATGAGGTACAGGAAGGTTTGAGAAATTATCTTAGGAATAAAAAAATAATGGGGTGATAACAAGCAAGCATGTCCCTGTTGTTCCCTCTATTTCTGAAGTCCAAACTATGAGTGATGTTGCTTATGCAGCCAATATGGAATCCCAAGGTCTTCAGAAGTATAAAATGATACTGTGTGTGGAAACTCCCCATAAGGGAAGAACCCCAAGAATAACACAATGGAGACTGAGCATACTCAATGGCAATGAAACTCTGTATATCTGTTGGGGAGGAGAAATAGAAAACCACGGATGGTGGGATTGGAATGGGGTGGCTGAATCCTGACCAACAGCACGGCATGCTGCAACCTCGGGTAAGTATTTAATTCGTTCCGGAGGTCCGTTCTTAACCTGAAACTGTTCTTAACCTGAAGCACCACTTTAGCTAATGGGGCCTTCTGCTGCCGCCATGCCGCTGGAGCACGATTTCTGTTCTCATCCTGAAGCAAAGTTCTTAACCCAAGGTACTATTTCTGGGTTAGCAGAGTCTGTAACCTGAAGTGTATGTAACCTGAAGAGTATGTAACCCAAGGTACCACTGTAATGGAACACTCAATTACTTCTAAGTGTCCCTTTCTAATATACAAAGGAATTCATACTATTTAACCAGCACAGGCTGAGGGTTTTGCAATATAAATATTTGGCAAAGACTGTCATTCCTTTGGGCTTTAATCAAGTATCCTGGAAGCTGCAGATTGCCTTCACTGATTTTCTCTCTTTCTCCAAAGTGACATATGAATCAGCACACCCATGTAGCCTAGGCTTATCTAAAAGAACTCTTGGAAATTCTTGGAAGAGAGTGACAGCACGGGTCTTTGAACTTTCTCTTGGAAATATACATGCAAAGTGGAAGTGGCTTTGCTGACCTTTTATGAAGAATGTTTATGGGAGAGTCAGTCAGTGTAATTACAGTAGGATTTTCTTTAATTGTAACTGTGTCTATTTGTTTTAGGGGCACATAAAAATAGTTTTACATTGTGCATAATAAATATGCGTGCATAAGTTTCCAAGTTAAATTCTATCTCCACTTAAAAGAAACTAAAGAGGAAGGGATGGGAGTGATCTTTGCTTGTCAAGACATAGCTCCTTCAGAGCTAGATGGACCAACAGACTACTATGTAAATCAATAAAGTAAATTTCAAAGTCATCATTGCATTGTGGAGCAACATAAACTAATAACTGTGAATCTTTCAAACTATCAAAAAACTCACAAGAACCAGAGTATTTACTATCTGGTTTACAGCATAAGCAAAACAGAGTTTTTAAAAGATGTTACAGAAGCACGATTATAGGTTATAAGCAACTAGCCTTTTCTTCCATCAATATTATCCAAAGCAACCATTTCCAGAGCAGGCCAGCATATTAGTCTCTTGCAGTTGTGTGATACTTTAAGAACTAACTTATTAATTATGACAAAAGCTTTTGCTTCATCAAATGCGCAAATGTTATCCTAAGTTGTAGGTGTGATATATTTAACAGAATTTGTATGCTACTTAATTGGTTGAAACCTCTAAGTGTTTAAACCCCCCCCCCACAAAAAAAAACTAAAATCTTCATTAAAAATACAGATATAATTTTTAAAACACCATATATGCATAACAATGTGTGTGTATAAATACTATTTATTTTATTTTAAGTATTTATACACCACTTTTCCTCAGAAAAGATCACAAAGCAATTTACAGAAAAGGCAAAAATTTAAAGGCAATATGCTAACCATCAAAATCCATGGTTACAATATATAAAACATCATATTCCATAACAGAGATTTCCACTCAATACAGTAATACTCAGTATTCACATCTACTAACATGCCTGTGCCTTAGCCATTCTGCACCTGCACAAAATCACCCACACTCACATATTCCCAACAGTTACAGAAACCCAATAAAGAACTGCAACCTAAATAAGCTGTACAATAGAAGTGCTGTTTGGTCTGGTTTCTTCCTTTAGGGCCTGTGAGCCTATACATACATACATGGTTGAGGAGGGAAATAGTAAACAGTAAAGCCAGAAGGAAATTAAAGGCAAAAAAGTATGTTTGTTGATACATTTCATTTCAGCTTCAGTGTTTATGATTCCCCCACCCAGCCATGTATATAAATACCTAAAACTCAAGACAGCACTTCATGCAATGAAGTGCCAAAAGACTGTTTTTTCCAAAATAAGTTATATTTATGCACAGAGTTTTGTTTAAGCAAAGAGATTTTCTATAAAGCATTTTTACAAATATGCTGATGGGTCCTCTTTTACAGGGACCTAATAATCTAATGCTAATGTGCTGCAAATTATAACATCCTGTACAAATTTCTTTATTTCCCATTACAGCACTCTGTTTTACATTTCCGTATTATGCCAAGATCGAGGCTACAAGCCACAAATAACTTGCTCTAGAAAAAATTCAGTGTGCTATTGCAGAGCAAATAGCAGACATAGCGTTTCCACACTATTCCATTACCACAGGCAAAGCCTTCTTTCATATACCTTATGCCTTCTGTATGATTTTTTTTTAATTAACCACTCTTTTTCTTGATTTTTAGGTCAAGAACAAGAATTACTGCAACTAGGGCAGAACACACCATTTGACAAAAAGACTAAAATCCTACACATACTCAGTGGAACTTATATATGAATAGATATGCATAGTATTAAGATTATGTTATTGCCTTCATTGTACACTTGGATTTAAAGAGAGGAAAAACTATTTTAAATTAGTATTCTGCAAGTTGAATAGAAAACTAGTTACTACGGGATGGGTAGGACTTCCACCTATTTTCTGCTTCTAGTGAAGTCACTGAGTATATTTGCTAGTTTACCCCCAGATGTATATTGATTACAGTGGTAAAGGTAAAGGGACCGCTGACGATTAGGTCCAGTCGTGACCGACTCTGGGGTTG